ACAATAAATTTCAACATGTAATATAAATTTTTCCTTACCGATTTCCACTTACCAAGAGCGCTTCACTCCCAGGCAACAGCGCCAGAGAAGAGTCTTGATGACCCAAAATTTTAGGGGACCAATCATAGACCTTTCGATAAGTAAGAGTGTCGAACCCAATGAGGAGCAGAAGCAAATGCCAAGCAGTTTTCAGCAAGGTAATTTCTGCAAGCACTGAAATTGTCGGTAACAGGTAGTTTGATAGCAAGATAATTTGTAACGATCAGGTAAAGGTAACGGTAATAAAAGTGCAGCAAGGTACCCCAATCCTTTTTTGGCAAAGGACAGTCCTGAACGGTTTCTCATAATAGATAAAACGTTCTTGAGGGCACACGGGAATTTCATCTAGTCACTTTCATCATGTTGGTTTGATTTCACGTTCGCTACTTTGATAATATGGTATGTGGATGGACCGGTGCTTGGGTGCTGTTCTTACTTGAACAAGCCTCCCACTTATGATTAATCCCCTCGCAAGCATCCGCAACTACGAAAGAAGTATTAAGATAACATTCTAACCATAGCATTAAACATGTGGATCCAAATCAGCCCCTTACGAAATAGCGCAAAAATTAGGGTTTAAGCTTCTGTCACTCTAGGAACCCATCATCTAATAACTACTCCACAATGCATTCCCTTAGGCCCAAAGATGGTGAAGTGTCATGTAGTCGACGTTCACATAACACCATTCAGGAAATCACATCATACATACCATCAAAATATCAAACTAATATCAAATTCACATGATTACTTATAACATGACTTCTCCTGTGGCCTCAAGAACAAGGGAAACAACTCACAAATAATATTCATGCTCAAGATCAAAGGGATATTAAATAGCATAATAGATATGAAAATATAATCTTCCACCAAATAAACCATCTAGCATCAACTACAAGATGTAATCAGCACTGCTAGTCACCCACAGGTACCAATCTGAGGTTCCGGTACAAAGATTGAACACAAGAGATGAACTAGGGTTTGATATGAGATGTTGTTGTTGAAGATGTTGATGAAGATTGACCTCCCAAAGATGAGAGGGTTGTTGGTGATGACAATGACGATGATTTCCCCCTCCCAAAGGGAAGTTCCCCTGGCAGAATCGCTCCGTCGGAGGGCAAAAGTGCTCCTGCCCAAGTTTCGCCGCGAGACGGCGGCACTCCCTCCTGAAAGTCATCTCCTCATTTTTTTTCTAGGTCAAAAGATCTTATGCACCATAAGATGGGCACCGGAGGTGGGACTGGGCCCCCACTACCCACCAGGGCGCGCCTGGAGGGGGTGGCGCGCCCTGGTGCCTTGGGGGCGCCTGAGTGCCCCCTCCGGTAGTTATTCTCTCCAATATTTATTACATATTCCAAAATAATTCTTTGTAAAATTTTAGCTTATTTGGAGATGTCCAGCTGCCGGCATTCTCCCTCTTTGTGTAAACCTTGCATATTATGAGAGAAAAGGCATTAGAATTACTCCATAAAGTGTTATAAAGCATAAAAACACTATAAATAACAGTAGGAAAACATGATGCAAAATGGACGTATCAGGGATGAGCTCAAGTCCTTGGAGGACGAGAAATGAAGTTCCAAATTGGCGGTCAAAGAGAGGAAGGTGAAGGCGGTGGAGCGTAAGCTTGCACTCTAGGAGAAAAGGCTTGTGAAAGATAAGTAAATTGAAGAGTGTGCTATCATGTTCATGAGCCTAACCATGATGGATGACATGACAAAAAGGTATTGGGAGCTAACTCGTGTAGAGATCATGAGCCAAACGAAGGATGGTGGTGGTGGTCAAGGAGGTGATGGTGATGGTGGCCGAGTGGGGTTGGTGGTGGTAGGTGTGGGAATGGTAGTATACATGGTGATGATTTCCTTGGTGGCGATGGTGCTTGAGTTCATTTACGTAGTATGCATTTGGTAGGGCTCGATCCACAACAAGACATGCCATGTTGTGGTGACTTTGGATTAAACTTGATCGATGTGGTGTCTTTTGGATGAACTTTATGCATGTTTTATAAGAAATTAAATATAAGGTATCAGTTAGGAGCAGTCACACTTAACTCGTTAAATTATAAGGAGTTAAAGATAAGGGGTTGTATATTTCCTTGAAAATCATAGGTGGAAATGAAAAAAAAAACAAAAAAACACAATATAAAAAAATGGAAAACATCACGCAACAATTGGGTCCGGTCCAACTGTTGGAGCGATTCACGCATAGCTGGATAGAAGTATTACAGAGAATTACAACACGTTGCCGGTGTGTTCAAAAGATATAATTATAGTTTTTAGTCATAAGGGTTATGGAAAATTGTTCTATCAGCCGACCGATTTAGCGCGGGGCATCCAGCGCCCCCTTGCTCAACATGTGGCCTACATGACCACGTCTCTCTTCTTCATTTATCTCTGCAACAACGGTGGTGTTGTAGAATGGTGGCAGCGAACGACGACTGTGCCAGTGTGCGACGCGACCGGAGATGCTGTTGCAATTCTTCCAACATAGGTCTTGTTGCAGAAAATTAGTTGTGGCTCATATGCGTTTGCAACTTATGCAATAAGAATCTTGTTGCAGAAAACTAGAAAAGAAGAGGTTTGTGCAATATGGGTCTTGTTGCAAAAAAATAGAGAAGAGAAGTTTTGCAATAAAAATTTTGTTATAGGAAATTAGAGAAGTGAAGGTTTTCCAACAAAGGTCGTGTTGCCAGAGGAACAATACGGACATGTTGCATCAATGAATCGGACGGCTCGCGGAATGGTGGATCTTTTAAAAAGATCCGCCGGCCGACGCGTAGCAGCGTCCGGTGGCTCATATGCGTTTGCAACTTTTGCAATAAGAGTCTTATTACAGAAAATTAGAAAAGAAGAGGTTTGTGCAATATGGGTCTTGTTGCAAAAAAATAGAGAAGAGAAGTTTTGCAATAAAGATTTTGTTATAGGAAATTAGAGAAGTGAAGATTTTCCAACAAAGGTCTTGTTGCAAGAGGAACCATACGGACATGTTGCATCAACGAATCGGACGGCTCGCGGAATGGTGGATCTTTTAAAAAGATCGGCCTGCCGAGCATAGCAGCGTTCGTGATCGGACGCTGCTACACGTCGGCCGACGGATCTTTTTAAAAGATCCATCATCGCCTCGTGAGACGTCAGATATGGCAGATTGAGCAGCAAGCGTCACCCTATACCACTGCAACAAAGGTCATGCATTAATTTTCTGCAACATGTGTCGTGTTGCAGAAATTTTACAACACATAGGTCAGGGTTGCAAATTTATTTTTGCAACAGAGTTCGTTTTAAAGTGTTCTTTTTCAATGAAGGGAAGTTAAATTTTTTTTGTGCAATAGAGGTATTGTTACAATTTTTTTGTTCGCGACATAGGCCTTGTTGCAATTTAATTATTTTTGTAACAGATGTCTTCTTAAAGGAGAGATGGGGAGGGAGGGGGGAGGGGTCACCACGTCACTGGGACACGTGACGTGCAACCAAGACGGAGGACACAAGCTTGTTAATTCGCCAGCTGAAATATAGTGTTTCCCTTCTAGAAAAATACTATTACAACGAGCATGATATAGGAATCAGTGCTACCGGTTTAGGGTAACCATAACCTAAATAGGCTGGTTTGAGCCCGCAGAAGCTATTTCTCGCCCACAACAAGACGTAAGCAGGTCTCGCCTCTAGCGCAGCACTACAGGGTAGATCCAGTACTGTAGCAGTTGAGCGGTATGTTCTTCTTGTGATTTTCTTTATGTGATTTTCACTATTTTGCAATGGTTTTCTTTGGCCTTTGTCTTGTTTCCTTTTTACCACGGTTCTCTTCATTTCTTTCTTTGATTTTCACAGATTGTTTCCTGTCTTTTTCCCTTTTTTTTTTCATTTGCGTCAGCACATTTCTAATTTTTTTCTTACACATTGTACAACTTTGTACACATTAGGAACATTTTTTTATATATGCTTAGCATTTTAAAAATATATTTTGATGTCTATTGTTACATACACATTGTATACGTTTTGTATACATCTAAATATTTCATACATGTTAATTTTACAAATATACGACTAACATTTTTCTAAACACATTTTTTGGAACATTTTTTCAAATACAATCAACATTTTTTGAATTACACAGCAAATCATTTTTCTAATGATATGAAACCGGTTAATAAACTATCCTACATTTTTTATGTTGTATAAAAATTGACGTCACAAATAAATTTTGAAATGTATGAATAATTTCTAAAATGTAATTTACATTTTTTAATGCTACAAAAAGTTTTTTGAAATACAAGAACTTTTTTTTACAATTTTTAACATTTTAAAAAATGTCACATATATTGTTTTGAAATGCATGGACATTTCCTGAATGCCAGATAGATTTCTTGAATGCTACAAACATTTCCAATAAAGACGAGGTAATTTTTTTTAAGCTGCCATAATATTTTTCAAAATGCTCGATGAACAGTTAAAGAAGTAAAAAAAATTCTGTAATACATGTATTTTGTAATTTAGAGAGAGTGTGCCTCTGCCCCAGTACAAGAAATTGAGGACGTTCGGCCTGTTCTAATTCTACCCCTCCCTCTTCTTCAACCCATGTTTAAACATTTTCGTCGTTAAAATCCGCACATAAGCTCTTAGGAAATACTTTGTACAATGGACATTCTTTAGGACTTTTCTGAAGTTGAAATACCTATTTTACCTCTATTTTCATAGGTTGGCGCATTTAACAGATAATGAAGACCATTATGTTCATATATACGAACCATCAAGTGAAAATCATAGGACACCAATGATACATTTTCCCGCAAAAAAAGACAGTGATACATTTTACTTTACTTTTAGCACTTGAAAATATGACGAGACGACTCATAAAAAAAAATACTAGACAGTGATTTTTTTTAGCCAGACCAGACAGTGATGCCTTGCGCGTGCCCGCAAGTTTTTTTAGGCCCTACCACACAAAGGAAAACGCGCTGGGCCCGGCCGTCACTACCCCTTGTAGAATCGTAGTTGCTGAACGAAATTATCAATGCACATCTTATGGCATGCAGTATCCGCGACAATCTGATGGAGCTTCTTGGCATTGGCCGCGAAGACACGTCTACCTTCTTCCTCCACCAAGACGGCCCGGACCGCCGACGCGACGCCTTCTCGGTCTAAAGACGATCCATCCTTGCCGTTCCTTGGCACCGGCAATCCAACCTTCTTCCCCTCCATTAGCCGAGCGATTGGCCCTTGGTCTCCGAAGAATGGCAGCATGACAAGGGGGCGTCCATACTGCATCCCCTCGATGGCGGAGCTCCACCCGCAGTGCGTCAGGAACGCGCTGACGGAGTCGTGCGCTAGCACCCTGGTCTGCGGGGCCATTCCCATTGTTACGAGCCCGCGGTGTTTGGTACGCTCCTGGAAACCCGGAGGAAGGACCTCGTCGTCGGGGACGCCGCTGGGCTTCCTCAGCGCCCAGAGGAACGCCGCCCCGGCGAGCTCCAGGCCGATGGCTAGCTCGTGCACTAGCTCCGTGCTCAGCGGCGCCTCGCTTCCCAGCGCGACGTAGACGACGGATTTCGCTGGCTGCCGGTCGAGCCACGACACGAGCGCGTCGTCTCCGTTGGACCTCAGCGGCGGCGGCAGCAGGCCGAGAGGGACGAACGGCTTGCCGTAGATGCCGGGCAGCAGAGCCACGCTGTCGGGATCGAACTCGATGCAGCACCGCTGTGCCACCATCTTGCAGCTCTGGTAGGTTAACAAGAAGCGCTGGCCTAGCGAAGCCCCTAGCTCCGGGTTAACAGTCTTCGACATGCACGGAACGCCCCAGAGGGCGGTCGACGCGGAGGAGCAAGTGGCGAACATCACAGATGGCACGCCCCGGTCGACAGCGGCGGCGGCGGCTAGGTAGTGCAATGTGTCGACGATGACCCAGTCCGGCTTCTTGTCGCGGTCTAGTAAGGCGGAGAATGGCCCGGCGAGGCCGTCGGAAGCCTTCTGTAGGAGCTCGCCCTTGCCGGGCGGGAGGTCGGTGGTGGCCTCGGCTCCCTCGGGAAGGCCATCCACGCGTGGGAGCGGCAGGGCCACCAGGTGGACGTCGACTGCCGGCGGGAGCCGGCTGATGTTGCGCGGCGTTGAGACGAAGGAGACGCGGTGACAGCGGGCCGCCAGGCGCTCCGCGAGCTCGAGGAACGGGAGCATGTGACCGAACGCGAGCCACGGGAAGAGGACGACGTGCATCGGCGACGAGTCGGCGGCGTCCATCCTGCTCCTGGCTCCTGGGTCAACGTTGGCCACAGGAGCATACAGTAGCGCGCTGCGGCTATAAAGTGAGACGAGAGCTGCGCTGGTGCCGCGTGCATCACGCACGTCACCTACTAAAAATGTGGTTAGATATCAATACCGGAGGGTTAACCTTTTTGGTGTTTTTTTTTGAACTTAACCTTTTTGGTGTTGATGGCGCTAAGAGCATCTCCGGCCATTCGGCCCCAGAGGCGGAAAAAAAATCGCCTGGAGGCGAACCGGCGCAAGCTTGCCACGTGGGGCGACTTCGTTCCCAGTCGTCGCCCACCAGGTCGCCACCAATATCACGCGAGCTCGGCGAACTTCGTACAAATTTGTGCAAACTCGGCGAAATTTTATTGAAATTTGTAAAAAAAAGGATAAAACATGCAAACTACGTCAAACTACGCCTAGCCACTGCGCTGCGTCCATCGCCCGCCATCTACATGCCGAGAAGCCTGTAGAAACGGGTGTAGTCGTCGTCGTCGTCGCGCGCCCCACCGGAGCCGCCGCCGTCCCTGCTGCACCCCTGCCCAGGGTCGCCGACGTGCGATGGGGCGTTGGACGGTCCGGCCTCGTCCTCCTCGTCGCTGTCGAGGACGATGACGTCGCCCTCCTCGCGCCCGTGGCGCCGGGCCTGGAGCTCCGCGTATGCCAGGCGCTGGCGTCGCACCTGCTCGCGGATGTAATCCGCCTTCGCCCATTTTTGGGCGGCCTCGTCGTCGGGGGCCACCATGTCGACATGCTCCGGCTTCACGGGGAGCAGGCCCGGCTCGGGCTTCGGCCGGACCAGGCGGAGGGAGCGCGGGGAAGAGCGGGCACCCTCGTTGATGACGAGGGCGCCGCTGCGGTTGCGGCGCCGGAGCGGTGTCTCCACTGGCTCAGGCTTGACGGGGCAGAGAGCCGGCGAGCCAGAGGAGAGCTTGCCGGAGCCCGACGACGAGGACGTCGGCTCCATTCGCCATGGTGTCCAGGAGCTGCCATGGCAGCGAGAGAAGGACAGCTGCACCGGGTACTCGAGGCGCGGCGCGTTGCCGGTCTCGATGTGGTCGAGGACGGCCTCGAGGATGCGGCCTGACACTGTTGGGGAACGCAGTAATTTCAAAATTTTCCCTACGATCACGCAAGATCTATCTAGGTGATGCATAGCAAAGAGAGGGAGAGTGTGTCCATGTACCCTCGTAGACCGAAAGCGGAAGCATTATGTAACGCGGTTGATGTAGTCGAACTTCTTCACGATCCAACCGATCAAGTACCGAACGCACAGCACATTCGCGATCTGCACACGTTCAGCTCGGTGACGTCCCTCGAACTCTAGATCCAGCTGAGGTCGAAGAAGAGTTTCGTCAGCACGACGGCGTGGTGACGGTGATGATGAAGTTACCGGCACAGGGCTTCGCCTAAGCACTACGACGATATGACCGAGGTGGAAAACTGTGGATGGGGACACCGCACACGGCTAAAAGATCAACTTGTGTTTCTATCGGGTGCCCCCTCCCCCGTATATAAAGGAGGGGGGGAGGAGGCCGGCCGGCCACAAGGGCGCACCAAGGAGGAGGACTCCTACTCTCAGTAGGAGTAGGTTTCCCTCCTTTCCTAGTCCAAGAAGGAGAAGAAGGGAAAGAGGAGAGAAGAGAAGGAAGGAGAGCCCCCCCTTCCCTTGTCCAATTCAGACTAAGCAAGGGGGGGGGGCGCTCCACCTCTGGCTGGCCCTCTCTCTTCTCCACTAAGGCCCATTAATCCCCCGAGGGTTCCGGTAACCCTCCGGTACTCCGATTTTATCCGAAACTTCTCCGGAACACTTCCGGTGTCCGAACATAGCCATCCAATATATTAATCTTTATGTCTCGAACATTTTGAGACTCCTCGTCATGTCCCTGTTCACATCCGGGACTCCGAACAACCTTCGGTGCATCATATCACATAAACTCATAATACCAATCATCATCGAACGTTAAGCGTGCAGACCCTACGGGTTCGAGAACTATGTAGACATGACCGAGACACGTCTCTGGTCAATAACCAATAGCGGAACTTGGATGCTCATATTGGTTCCTACATATTCTATGAATATCTTTATCGATCAAACCGCATAACAACATACGTTGTTCCCTTTGTCATCGGTATGTTACTTGCCCGAGATTCAATCGTCGGTATCATCATACCTAGTCCAATCTCATTACCGGCAATTCTTGCCAATTCTTGCAAGGCTTATACTCATTAGTGCCAATTCTTGCAAGGCTTATACTGATGAGTATTACCGAGAGGGCCCAGAGATACCTCTCCAAAACAAGGAGTGATAAATCCTAATCTCGATCTATGCCAACCCAACAAACACCTTCGGAGACACCTGTAGAGCACCTTTATAATCACCCTTTTATGTTGTGACGTTTGGTAGCACACAAAGTGTTCCTCCGGTGTTCGGGAGTTTCATAATCTCATAATATGAGGAACTTGTATAAGTCATGAAGAAAGCAGTAGCAATGAAACTGACACGATCATAATGCTAAGCTAATGGATGGGTCATGTCCATTACGTCATTGTCCTAATGATGTGATTGTTGGGGAACGTAGTAATTTCAAAAGAATTCCTACGCACACGCAAGATCATGGTGATTCATAGCAACGAGCGGGGAGAGTGAGTCCACGTATCCTTGTAGACCGAAAGCGGAAGCGTTAGCACAACGCGGTTGATGTAGTCGTACGTCTTCATGATCCAACCGATCCAAGTACCGAACGTACGGCACCTTCGAGTTCAGCACACGTTCAGCTCGATGACGTCCCACGAACTCCGATCTAGCAGAGCTTCACGGGAGAGTTCCGTCAGCATGATGGCATGATGACGGTGATGATGTTGCTACCGACACAGGGCTTCGCCTAAGCACCGCACACGACTGGAATAGATCAACAGATCAACTTGTGTGTCCATGGGGTGCCCCCTCCCCCCGTATATAAAGGAGTAGAGCAGGGGGAGGGCCGGCCCTCTCTTGGGCGCGCCATAGGGGAGTCCTACTCCCACCGGGAGTAGGATTTGCCCCTTTCCAAGTTG